GAAGGCTTATCAATAAACTGCAATCTTTAAGTTTGGATTCCAATATTGTTGAATGGGTAAGGCAGTGGCTGAGTGACAGGCAACAGAGGGTTGTAGTTAATGGAATATATTCGAAGCTTGGACTTGTCACCAGTGGGGTACCTCAGGGATCTGTACTTGGACCCATTCTCTTTAATATTTTTATTAGTGATATTGCAGAAGGTCTTGATGGTAAGGTATGTCTTTTTGCTGATGATACTAAGATATGTAACAGGGTTGATGTTCCAGGAGGGATAAGCCAAATGGCAAATGATTTAGGTAAACTAGAAAAATGGTCAGAATTGTGGCAACTGACATTTAATGTGGATAAGTGCAAGATAATGCATCTTGGACGTAAAAACCCAAGGGCAGAGTACAGAATATTTGATAGAGTCCTAACCTCAACATATGAGGAAAGGGATTTAGGGGTGATTGTAACGGACCGTTTAGCATAAAAGGGGTAAAAACCGCTTAGACGATAATCCCCCTTTCAGAGACAGGCACAGCTACTGTAGAATCACCAAAACTCACGAACCGCCAATAAGTGAATGCTCCAAACTCCCGAACGGCATACAAGGGAATAAGGTAGCACTTCAAATAAACGAACAGGAACCATACGAATAGCTGCTAGCAGGCGAACAGGAAAAGCTTCCAAGCGGCTTACACTCCTGGCAATCAGTCCTTAGCAGCATACAGTGAATCCCCCCAAGAACGAGACAAGGCTCCGTGTTGAGGGTCAAGCAGTGGTCTGTTTAATGAGGGCTACCTGCCCAGCTTTTATGCAGGTCTCCCACCTGGTGGACACTCCCCTAGGGGACCAAATGGGAGACTGTGACAAGGGACAGACAAGTATACAAAAAGGACACACAGTCACAGTATATTCCCACAATGCATCCTGGCTTCCTCCCCTCTGCCCTGGGAGATAATTGGGAAGTAACTCAATTATCTCCCAAGACAAAGGCAAAACTCCATTACACACGTGGGAACACAAAACCAGCATAACACTTTAAAATGCTCAAAGTAACATTTACTACCTAAACCACAGACATGTAACATATCCCCAGATAGCTCAGGTCTGAGTGCACATTATTAGGTGAATGGCACTCAGACTACACGAATACAGTTCAATCGCCATGGAGCCAAAGTCTTTACAGTCAGTTTCATATGAATGGGCTCCATGGGATTCCTATCTGGGGTATAAGATATTCACACAAAAATACCGAACACCGGGTCATTCGTGTGCTTTCACCGAACGAGAAGGGAGGTCGGCGGCTTCAGTGGTGTTCGCGCAAAACTGTGTCCGATTTTAGTTCCATAAAAATAGAGGCGAACACCGCTGTTCATTCGTATGGTTTAAAATGGCCGTGACCTCGTGTTCGGGATACGAACGGCGGCCACCCAGCGTTCATCAATTAAGCTGCGGTTAACCGCAGCTTCAGGGAGGTTAATTGCCGGCACACTCCAGCTCCCAGGTGGTCCAGTCATTCGTACGGTTGTTCGGTAGATTGAAACTACTGAACAACCGGCAGAAAAGCACGAATACAGCTTTTCTGCATGCAAAAATAGTCTTTAAAAAGGGGGCCATAGTCCAAAGGCAGCAGGCGAGCAACCAGGCTTCTCCAATGCAATGTGGCGAGATTGGTCTCGTCACAGTGATTATTTCTGATGACTTAAAGGTAGGCAGACACTGTAATAGAGCAGCATGAAATGCTAGCAGAATGCTTGGTTGTATAGGGAGAGGTATTAGCAGTAGAAAGAGGGAAGTGCTCATGCCATTGTACAGAACACTGGTGAGACCTCACTTGGAGTATTGTACACAGTACTGGAGACCGTATCTACAGAAGGATATTGATACCTTAGAGAGGGTTCAGAGAAGGGCTACTAAACTGGTTCATAGATTGCGGGATAAAACTTACCAGGAAAGGTTAAAGGATCTTAACATGTATAGCTTGGAGGAAAGACGAGACAGGGGGGATATGATAGAAACATTTAAATATATAAAGGGAATCAACACAGTAAAGGAGGAGACTATATTTAAAAGAAGAAAACTACCACAACAAGAGGACATAGTCTTAAATTAGAGGGACAAAGGTTTAAAAATAATATCAGGAAGTATTACTTTACTGAGAGAGTAGTGGATGCATGGAATAGCCTTCCAGCTGAAGTGGTAGAGGTTAACACAGTAAAGGAGTTTAAGCATGCGTGGGATAGGCATAAGGCTATCCTAACTATAAGATAAGACTAGAGACTAATGAAAGTATTTAGAAAATTGGTCAGACTAGATGGGCCGAATGGTTCTCATCTGCCGTCACATTCTACGTTTCTATGTAAAAAGCCATATAAATCTTCATTGAACTGCTTCATTCAGCATTCAAACCAAAATACCAAACAACCAGACCACCCTGATGTGAAGCGTGGCTGTAATTAACCTCCCCGTTTGTTTCATTGCATTCCCATTGGAAAAAGCACGAATGCATTGTTTAAGTCCCCGGGTGGCCGCCATTTTGGCACCCAAACACGTTGTGTCAGTCATCTTAACACACAAACAGCAGTGTCTGGAACTCCAATTGGACACTCGACTATGCGAACACCGTTAAGACCTCCAGGGCTCCAGAAAATACAGACTTAAACTCACGAACGGCCCGCCGTTCGGTAGGTTCCCACGAACAAGGGGATTCATCCGAATGCCAGCTCAGCCCTGGATGGCATATATTTTCGGGACTTTTAACGCACAAGAGGAGACCGACCGCCAGGCCAAACTGTATGGAACTAATTTCGGCTACTTCTGCCTGTGCGGTCGGTCAAAAGTTTACTTCCACATAACTGGTCTGATCTGGGTGATTTTTGAATATGGTGTACCTAGTATGGTTGGGATACATCCAGAACTTGGGGGAAAATGTGTACATTTTAATTGTGTTAACTGTTAAACAGAGGGGAGGAGATGTGTGGGAAGTAACATCTATGTGATTGGTTACTGTAATAATTATTGTGGGTGTCTCCCTTGCAGGGGAGAACCGCATAAAAGCAGGATATGTGGAATAAAAGATCATTTCTGCTCCTGATACTGTGTGTTGTCCAGTTATTGGGAAAGGTGATGGGATATTCTTGGATTATATTGTTGATTGTGCCTGTTACTCTCTTGGATCTCTTACTTGTTCCTGAGCCATACTTGGATTACCAGCGGAAATAGTCTATGGGAAAACAGCTTTCCGCTACAGAGTGATACAGAATACTCAGGCGTTACATTATATTGGAGTGATACAGAATACTCGGACATTACGTTATATTGGAGTGATACAGAATACTTGAGGAGGTTACTTTATATTGGAGTGATACAGAATACTCGGCGAGGTTACATTATTTTGGAGTGATACAGAATACTCAAACATTACATTATATTGGAGTGATACAGAATACTCGGGGACATTACATTACTTTGGAGTGATATAGAATACTTCAGAACGTTACATTATATTGGAGTGATACAGAATAGTCGGACGTTACATTATATTGGAGTGATACAGAATCCTCGGATGTTACGTTATATTGGAGTGATACAGAATACTCGGGGAGGTTACATTATATTGGAGTGATACAGAATACTCGGACTTTACATTATATTGGAGTGATACAGAATACTTCAGAACGTTACATTATATTGGAGTAATGCAGAATACTCGGACGTTACATTATATTGGAGTGATACAGAATACTCGGATGTTACATTATAGTGGAGTGATACAGAATACTCGGTGACGTTACATTACTTTGGAGTGATACAGAATACTTCAGAATGTTACATTATATAGGAGTGTTACAG